TGCAGGGTTCGCACCCTGAGCCTGACCCCGGGGGTGAGCAGTCCCCCGAGCCGCTCAGCCCACCGCAGCCCTTGGGACCCCTGGCCTGGCTCAGGTCCCTCGTGTGCAGCGGAGGAAACCGTGGCCAAGACCTGCCCACTTCCAAGGTCCATCTCTAGTTTCCTCTTCCGGAAGCCCTCCATGGTCACCCCTGCTGGCCGTCACGGTTCTCTTCCCCCTCTGCTTTCCACAGGGCCACACGTCTGTGACTCTGTGGCGTGTGGACCTTTAGGTCCCAGGGTCAGGAGAGTGGGGCCAGGACCCAGCAGACGGGGCTCAGGCTGTGTGACACTGGGCAGGTGACCTCCCCTCTCTGAGCCTGTTTGCTCAGCTGAGATGAGAGCATAAGGGAACAGAGCCCAGAGAGGCTGGCAGAATGGAGCCAGGGAGCACAGCTTGAAAGGTGCTGGGCGCAGTGCCAGACACGGTGGACACAAGTGTCCAGCAGAACCGGGTCGTGGGGAAGCCAGTGGTGCTGGGCAGGGCTGGCTCCCAGCCAAGCATCCGTTGGGCAGGGACAGGAAGCAGCAGTGGAGAGGGGCTCAAAAGCCAGGGAGGGGCAGTGGTTAAGGGTGTGGATAGGACTCTGCTGTGTGACTCCGGGTGAGTGGATCAATCTCTCTGAACCCCAGCTCTGCCATTTGCAAAATGGGAGTAGATCACATTTTCAAGGGGTTTGGGCCCAGTTTCCTCACCTGCAGGACAGAGCTGACAATTCTAACCTGGGGAAAGGCAAAGGGCTCTTTCCACCAGCCCCCTCCTCCTTTCTGCCCCTCCAGGAAGGAGCTCTGCCCAGGCCCCTGGAATCAGCTGCTCACCTCCCCGCAGGGCGTCCCCCCTGCACGGGGCCAAGCCCACCCCGTCCTCCGCCCCTTCTCTGAAGGGCTGTGCCTGAGCCGCCAGCAGAGGAGGCTGCCGTCGCGCTCCCCCTCCCTCTCCATCCCTCCAGCACCCCGCGGAGGTGGCCAGACAGTCCCCCAAGACAGTGCCCCCCGTGGCCTCCGCCTGGACACCCCCACCCGCATGACCCTCAGCCCCCAGGTGAGGGGACGCCCACTCCTCCCTGTTGTGCAGGTGGTCACCTGAGGTGCCCAAGGCTGGGGCTGCAGGTGTGCCCACGGGGGGCAGCGGTGCCCCTGGGCTTGGACCGGGCAGCCGGTGCCTCGCACCTCCCCAGCGTGGGCCCCCTTCCCCGGTGTCACCCGCAGGGTGGGCAGTGGGGGGCTGTGACAGTAGTGGGCAGCTAGGGGGTTTCCAAGGCCGTCGGACATGGCCTCTGAACGCCTGCGGCCTGCAGGGACAGGGGCGCCCTCCGTACCGCGGGATGGGGACAGTGAGGAGTCAGGTGAGGGGACGAGCCCAGCCCCAGGTGGCCTGGGGACAGAGGAGCCCAGCAGGAGCAGGACTGGCCAGCAGACTCACCGGGCTCGCCCTTGGGGCCCTGCAGCCCGTCATGTCCGTCCTTCCCAGGGGCCCCCGGCAGGCCTGGCATCCCCGGGATCCCGTAGCAGCTGGGGCTGGACTGTCCCCCGAGTGGCCGCGCCAGCAGGAGCAGCAGCAGGCAGAGTCCCAGGAGGCCCCTGTGGCCGGGGCCCGCGTCCATCCTGGGGAGGGAGCGGTGGGGAGGGTGGAGTGGCCCCGGGCCCTGCCCTTCCCGCGCCCCTGGTGCTCAGCCCACTGCCTTCAAGGAGGGACCCCGATGGGGGTGGGAGCTGGGCCTCTGCTGCGGCCAGGGCTCAGCAGGGTGGACCTCCTGTCCCCCCGCCCAGCCGTCCAGGAGAGTCGCCCTCGCCCTCACCTGTGCGCCTGGGGCCGGGAAGCTTCTGGCCTGGTCACAGAGTGTCCTCAGCTCCGCTTCCCTCTCCCAGACCTGAGGTCACGGCGTCAGAGTGGACAGAGCAGGATGGCCCAGGGCAGAGCTGGGGACCCCTCCCCCATTGCTCCCCTCCCCCGCCACCGCTCCCCGTCCCACATCCCCTTTCTTGTCCTTTTCCCTGACGTGACACTTTCTCGTGCTCCAGCCAGGCTGACCACAGTGGCCCCCACCCCTTCCGCCCACACCTGGTCATGAGTGTCTGAAACGGGGAAGTGAATGACGTCCCCAGGGCACAGATGTCCCTGGGTCAGGTTGGCCCACCCAGTGTCCGGTCCCCTCTTGGCATCACCGAGGGGGAGTTACTGTCCCCTCACCGACGAGGACATGAGGCCCAGGGAGGCCGATGCCCGGGCCCCTCGTCCACCCCAGTGTTCTCTGGGGCTCAGCGCCCACCTCTGCTCGGCCACCACCAGACGTGCAGTCCGACATGCAGTGGTCAGGCGCGGGCCTTGTTCTGGAAACATCCATGGCCCACGGGGTCGCTGCGCTTGGGGTGGACACCCAGGAGGAGCCAGCAGTGCTGAGTGCCCGGCCCTGGCTCCGGGCAGCGGCTGTGGCTTCCCCTGCCGGCCCCGCACTCGTGCCTGGAGGTCTTCGTGAACCCCACCTCCCCTGACTCCGGGGAACCCAGGCTTTGGGGTCACTGCTCTTCCTCTCCCGGGTCCCCTGGATCCCCCCTTCCCACTGCCTCCTGCCTGCCTCTGGCCAGGGGCCTGGGTGGGTGGGGTCCAGGGTGGCCAGGCAGCCCTTCGCTCTGGGGTGAAGGTCATGGGCGGCAGAGGGTCCAGTCACGGCCCTCTCCTGCCGCCCACCCCAGAACGAGGACTTGCAGCGGCTCCACGCCCTGTGAGGACGTGGCCGGGGACAGCAGGAGTTCAGCGTCCTCCCTCAGGGCCTCGGGCTCCACCTGGACCTCTGTCCTGTGGCCCAGGCCACCAAGCCTGGACAGAGGTGAAGCGCTTGGCCCCGGGAGCCCCCCGCGGGTGGAGGTCTGGGGGGCATAAATGGTGGGCCCTGCCCATGGGGTGGGGGACAACCCAGCCCCCGGGCCCTGGGCTGCAGCTGCTGTCCTCCTTGGTGCCCAGGTCCCCTTTGTCCAGCAGGTGGCAGCCTCGGCCCGCGCTCGGCCCGCTCCTGCCCCACCCGCCGGCCTGGGCGGAAGCGGTGACAGGAGTTTGGCACTTTGGGGTCCAGCAGGCGGGCTGTACCTGGGCCCCGCTCTGTCCAGGAGTGACCTTAAGCCCCGTCACTGGGCGCAGGTCCGGGCCTCTTCTGCGGGGTTCCTCCCACCCGTGGCTGCAAGATGCCCAGGGCGGGGTGGGCACCCAGAGCGGCGGCCTCCCCCAGCCTGTGGGCAGCGGGTTCCGACAGGCGGGGACACGGGCCGACTCTGCAGGGTCCTGAGCGGGGGACACTGGGGGTCTCTGAGGACAGCTGTGTGGAATCGCGTGTCGGGGGTCAGGGTGGAGAGCTCGGGGGGCGGAGGGTGAGGTGGTGTCGGTGTCTGGGCCGCGTCCGGGGCTGTGCGCCTGTGTGCGCCAGACAGAAGGCGCGTCGTGGCTGGTTCACGAAGGCTCCTTGGAGGTGGGAGGCGGGAGCTAAGTGGTGGGAGAGATGTGTCCCCCGAGTGCGCACGGGTGTGAAGCCACAGTGTGGGTGTGTCCCAGGGTGTGCGAGGGTGTGCGCTGGACCCGCGTTTCCTGGGGAGTGGGTGGCTTTCTGTGGGACCCTGGGGAGCACATGAGCATCCAGGGTCCTCCAGGTCCCCGGCCGGGCAGACGCCCTGGAGCCCAGGCTGCACACCTGCTGGGAGGGGCCCCGGGGCCGGCTCAGGAGTCCTAGCCCGGGGGTCGCTGGGCGTCCTGGGACTAGCTGTCTCCCTTCTCTGATTCCTGCCCCAGCCAGGGGTGGGAGAGCACTGTGTGAGCGTCCAGCCCAGCTGTAGGGTCGGGAGGCTGTAGGGTCGGGGGGCTGTAGGAGTGGGGAGGCTGTAGGGTCAGGAGGCTGTAGGGTCGGGAGGCTGTAGGAGTGGGGAGGCTGTAGGGTCTGGGAGGCTGTAGGAGTGGGGAGGCTGTAGGATTGGGGGGCTGTAGGAGTGGGGAGGCTGTAGGGTTGGGAGGCTGTAGGGTCGGGAGGTTGTAGGAGTGGGGAGGCTGTAGGGTTGGGAGGCTGTAGGGTCTGGGAGGCTGTAGGAGTGGGGAGGCTGTAGGGTCTGGGAGGCTGTAGGGTGTGGGAGGCTGTAGGGTCTGGGGAAGCTGTAGGG